GTACTCACCGATTGAAACTGATCCAGGATAATTTCACTAACGGAGTTGCTAGACATCTCATCACTTGTTTCTATCGAAACACTTGGCGTCTAGGTTGGCTCATATCTGAGAGATTTTATCTGCAAAGAAGTTGTCAAACATGTCACAGCAGGCCGTTGTTGGGTTAAGTAATGGGTTCTGCGCAGGAAAAACCTGTGTCAGTTCCCTTACCACCCTAAACAGCGTTACTGGATGGGACTCTGCAAATGCAATACGTGCAGGACAGAAACATCTCTGAGCTGAACGTATTGCCTCTATAGGACCAAAGGAAATTCCTATGATAAGTTCTGTCAGGTAAGAGTTGAGTTTTCCGCCAGTTGCGCTCTAGTCATTGTCCAATCCACTTCATTTTCCTAAGCTCTGATATATACCATGGCCTGTGATTTGGAGCAGGTTGGAAAGGACACTTGGGAGCAATCGTGTCAATACCTTGATAAGATCGGTGTTCCAAGTGTTAACCAAAGCTTCGACAGGGTCACCAGCGCTACCTACCATTAAACCCTCCAAGGCTTTCTGGAATCCTGTAGGCTCCATTAGCCTTCGAGGGCAGACCATTCTAATAGGTCCACCACCCCCGGAGGGGCAGATAGTTGCTCGTAGTTCAGTCTTGACCAGGAGGAGCTTACCAGGGGTTTGCTGCATTACGGTTAATTTAGTGTTCCACAGGCCAACATATCATGTCTCAGATGAGCCATTAAAGCACACATGATGATACGGATGAGTCCAGCAAAAGATGAGAGGCAAACTTTACCTTGGCTACTGGTATATCTACAGTATTCGGTTGTAACAATGTGATACCACTTTAACTAACAAGGTTCCCTCCTACAGAATCCTGAGGTGAATAATCTAATCAAGGGTTAGAATTCTTTCTATAGAGCTCTGGTACTATGTTCAGGGAAATAGATCAGAGCAATCTAACTCAGTGCTTCTCATGCTATATAACAGGGGTAGGCAACCTTTCCCCTTTAAGGGCCGAGGGACTTCAGCTCCCAGAAGCCTCAGCCATGTTGGCCAATAGTCCCATGTTGGCCAATAGCTCCTGGGATTCTGGGAGCTGAAGTTCCTCGGCCCTTAAAGGGGAAAGGTTGCCTACCCCTGCTATATAATGTGGAGAACTGGGAGATTTTTTTCCCTAATGTGCCAGCATAGTGTTTAGAGCACTGGACTACAACTCTGGAGACCAGGGTTCAAATCCCTGCTCATCCATGGAAACCCACTGGGACACTTTGGGCAAGTCACACTATCTCAACCTCAGAGGAAGGCAAAGGGGGAAAAAGCCTCTGAACAAAACTTGCAAAGAAAATAATATGAGTCAGAAATGGCTTGAAGTCCCACAATAACCACAACTATGTGCCAAGGACCAATACTATATTTGTGTCCATTGGCTACAACTGTTTCTTATTTTCCTTGAAACTCTCTGCAGACTGGAAACCAAAGATTCATGGAATAGCATCAGTTCCCAGACCACTACCTTGAGTAAGCACTAGTGTAGCCAACAGTTTTCAACAGCTCATGAGGCTCCTAATTCTAGGATTCCATAGTAGACAGCCATGGCAGATAAAGTGGAATCAAACTCTGATAATTTAATAATGTAGGCCCACTTGAAGGAAACTTGGCACTCTGTAAGTAAATAAATAAAATAGTACCTTTTTTAGTGTACACAGGACTTCATGAGCATATTAATCCTCACTGATCAAAGTGCTGGTGCTCCTTGCTAAATTTAATCATCACAGAAGATTGGCTATCTGTGAGCCTGACTGGTCTCAGTGCTCAAAGGTAAACCAATATTGTATTGTTATCCCACATATTGCAGATAGTGGAGCTTGTCTAAGCCACTGAATGTGTTCATGGTTGAGGTGAGATGTAAACCTGAAGTAATTGTAGAAATATATCTTTTTAAATACTGTGGTCTCTGGGTGAGTACAAAATGCACAATGAAAACTGGGCCAAGTTGGGGGGGGTTAGAGCAAAAAAGAAAAAGAGGGAAATAAGCAACATGTTTAAGGAGGAAAATGTTGGGTATCGTTGCATAACACACTCAGAACCAAAACATAATTATAAGAACATTTCTGGAAAAAGCACCCAAGGCAAGCACTTGTACCTCCACAAAACATCCTGGGATATATAATTACTAACTGGAGCATGTTGGCATCTCAGTCATAGATAAAAAGCTCAAATTTAATTTTCCTAGTCACACAAAGAAAATCAATCAATTCTTATACAACTTTTTCTGGCAATTCAATATATATGCAGTCGCATTTTACAGTACAGAAAAGGGGCAAGAAAAGGGCATGGGTTTGCCTTTTCTTTTGTTTTTGAAAAACAAAACAATTACCATCTAGAATCTTCCGTGCCATTTCTATGCTCTGCCATAAAATCTCTCATAAATGCAATTTAATTACTGTCTAACAATACCATTAAGGTTAATGATAGTTCACACAAATTTATTTCGGTCATGGACCAATATAAAAATAATATAATATAAAATATATAATGAAATCATGTACAGTTATTAAAACAATCAGATATAAAACTAAAGAATGATAGCTGCATATGATTCAAGATCCATTAATATTTTTTTCTTGCAGCATCTCCCCCACCCCAATATAAATGTTTAATTCACATTTCAAAGGAATTTGTTATGGGAAATGTGATTGCAATATTGTTGAAGAGCTTTGACAACAGATTCCTCCATTTGTTCCTACTTCTTATGTTGAATGCTCAACTTTTAAAGCTCAGGAGTTATAATTGCATCACTTTTCTAAGATCCATGTCCATTAATAGTAAGAACCCTCAGTTTCCTACTTCTGAATTCTCTACCTTGGACCACTTTCTACATGCTGTTCACTCACGGCTAAGAATAGAAATGAACTTCATTGAGCTTACATCCCCCTATGAAAAGATCGGTGGTGAATCTCCCAACAGAATGAAGCACATCCTATCCCAGAAATCCATATATTTTAGTCACTTGTGGTGGCAGATCTTAATTATAACCTCTTTTTTATTAAGGTTTAACTAAAATTAGAATAAACATTTCTATGGCAAAATGTGAATGTAGCAAACCATACATTATAAAATAGTCTTCATAAAGCATTGGCTCCCCAATTTTGGAGATACTAGTCTCCAAAATGACAAAAAAAAATGCAGTTCCAAGAACATCTACCCAGCACAGGCAATAGTCAGGGCTTCTTGAAGCTGCAGTCAAATAGCATATTGGGATCCAAGCTTGGGAACAATTTTTATTAAATTGATGTTTGAAGGATCCAGAATGATTAACATGAAGTCATGCTAAAATTACTCTTATTTTCCACCAGTACAAAATGCACAAATCCAGTGCATTTGCATGCAAAAAATATCACTGGCTTCTGGAAATGATAATCTTTCTATGCCACACCACTTTAGAATGGGAGATGGTTTTTAAATGAGGCTACCTGGACATAATATTGAATGCTGTTGCAGCAAAGCCCATATAAATGAATGATATCAACAAATAGCTTGCAGCACAGCCAATAAACATATAATTTATCCTAACTGTACAAGTAAGAAGGACATGTGATTACATAGGAACTATATTCTGTTGATCCTACTCACATCCAGCCAAGTTTAACAACCCTGAAATGACAGGATATTACAATGAAGACATGGATGACTCAAAAGCAGTTACCTAGACAAGCATTTGTGCCAACTTTATGAAGCTGAATATGTGAATTCTCATTAAATTACAGTTTAGATCCACTAGTCAAGTTTTCGGCAAGCATGCTTAAAATTCTATTAAAGGAGATGGTTTTGCTGCTAGAGGGATTGTAGATATTTACTAGAACCCTTTTGATAAAAATAAAGCACTAACCTACCAGTTCCAGTTCAATTAATCTGTCTTTTAAACTAAGCATGTTGCCACAGCTAGATTTTAGCAGTGTGTCATGCAACTGCTGCTACACATTGCCACTCTGCAGAGATACTATTTTCCAAAAAGACCAAAAAACAGTAGCATTTATAAGATGAACTTAGGCAACAGCTAATGTTTGTTTCTTAAATTCATTATCAAGAGGGTGATACCACAATGAAAATCTCAGAACCGATTTTATATCTCTTCTGGAACTTGAGGATTTTAAAAGGTATTCTGTTCAACTATGTTCACTTTTTAATACATTGAGGCTTTGGGTTTCACTGACAAAAAAAGTTCCTCCCAATTTCCCTTTGCATAAACTCCCAGCACCTCCTCAATATGTGCTAATGGCCCCTGAGATTCCATGCTTCAGTTGGTGAAGTATTACTACTCTGAATTTTTCATTTCCTGATGCACACACCACTTGCTGCCCACCTATATGGACATTAGTTCTACATTACAGTGGTTGGACAGGAATATCTCATCCATCACAACTTTCACTTTTTCCCTTTATACATTGTCCTCTAATTTCAAGTATGAGTTTTGGCTTGTTCTCAGATACTTCTAGCATTTAAGAAAAACCCAAAAACCAAATGATAGCCATTTAAGCAATTGTTTTTCTTTATATTTGTCCCCCTCAGTGTTTTTGATAGCTTATTGAATTGCCCTTCAATAAAACACTTACATTCTTCCACTGCAAACACTTTCCTTGCCTTGGACACAGTTGAGAATAAGTAGCTTCTGTAAGTATCTGACCCAAATCCAAGGAAAATTGTCAAGAATACACACAAACATAACAAATACAGGACAGATGGCTTTTAAGAGGATGATGAACACAATGATTATGACAATGACAATGATGATGGTACTATTTAGAATATTACCATCATCATCCCACTGTATAGTCTCCAAAGCCCTCAAAGCAGCCAACATAGGATTATCACAGTAAAATTCCATTCAAGTCTCTGAAGGTGTCAATGTGATACAAGGCTAATTTAAGCATACTTTTCCTTATCTTTCTTATTTCCTTGGCCCTTTAAGCCACCAGTTTGGGATGTAAAGCTTAGTACTAAATTTTCTTGTCCTTGATGAGAAAGGGTATAATCATAGATTCTACCCTTTCTCATCAAGGACAAGAAAATTTAGTACTAAGCTTTGGTACTTCACATGGTCAAGCATGATGAGATTATTTACCATTATTGTTATTTTTAATTTGGGGACTTCCTGCAAACATTTTTGTTCCTCAAAAGTGATTTTTTAAAAAAGAAAGAAAGAAAGTCCTGAAATGCACAAGATCACCATAGCTTCATTTGTCCTTACAGGAGAGAATATTTCTTTATGATCTGAAGCTCCCTAGCAGAGAAAGGAAGATGTTAGGCATGAGAAAAGAAGATATTAAGTCTTCCTGTCTTTTTCATGCATTCACAGGGCTAGCCCAAGAGGTTCTCTCATTACAAAATTCAAAGTAATAGACATTCTCTCACACACACTCACACACATAAACATCATGCAGACAAGCAAATTAAAATGGGCAGTTGAATTTCACTTCAGGTTGGCAATAGGACAGTGAAGCCCACCACATTTGAGCAAAGCTAATTTAAAGTATTGCACAACAGGCTGTATGGCCAGAGGACTGAAGAAGATTGGCTAATGCTGAATCTACATTGCAGAATTAATGCAATTGCACACCTCTTTGACTGCCATGGATAAATGCTATAGAATTCTGGGATTGTGAATTTGTGAGCTATTTAGCCTTCTCTGACAGAGCACTTTGATGACTCAACAAACTATAAATTCCAGGAGGTCATAGAATAAAGCCATGACAGTTAAAGTGGTATCAAACTGCATTAATTCTGCAGCATGGCAGCAGCCTGAAGGACTGCAGCTGCTGCCAACCCATCATCACCTACTATCTGTAGCAATTGCCTCACTCTTCCTAATGGCAGGGCCAGCCCTGTGAATTCATTTTGACTACCTGAAATTGGTGAAAGTGAATAAAAGCAATCATTACTGAAACCTATCTTCTCATGACAAAGTGCCACATGCAGAGAGATATTTCACTCAAGAAACCTGAACACAAGGTCTAAGTAACATGCAATAGAATTCAACCATACTATCCCAACTCTGGATTGGAATGGAGTGGAATGGAGTGGATTCCATTCCACTCCGACCCATAGTGAATGCCATTGGATCTCCCACATATGATTTGGCCAAGTTTCTGGCCACACA